CCAAGGGTTTTTATGAAAAAAACATTTTAAGTACTATAATAAAAAGTGTGTTTATTCAGAGATGGTGCTGGTTCAAAGTATTGTGATTGTTTTGTGTAAATATGATTTCTCTATTATTTCATAGCACATACATAGCACATTTTCAACATTTATTTGTGTGCCGTTACTGAGACATTAACAACACATAGAGAGGTATATGCATGGAATATGCACAGTATGTAATGTATTTGTTGTGTCTAGGCATGGCTAAGCTGAGCAATTAAAAACTTTATGATTTACACATAGTAATTACACATCTATAAGCAATAAACAGTAGTAAAACCATAAATGTTAACCACAGATAATGAAAAATGTTTGGTAGAAATTAGAACAGAGAGCTGAACATCATTTGTTGATTAGGCTTTGCCTGGTTATTCCAGCTTGCAGATGGTGAAGGTCTCTTGCATAACACTTATATTATTAGGTTTTCAGCTTTGGTTTTGGATAAACTTAAGTGCCTCACCACAAATGACCTTTAAATCCAGGGCTTAGAAAATGTTGCCCTGGATATACTTATTGACTTACTCGTATCATTAGATAACATATCCAAGACTAAGAGGTCCTTTCCAGGCATCACTATCTTCACTTACAAGCACATAACAGAACAAAGATTGTGGGGGGCGTTATGTAATGAAAAACATTTTATTTGCCTTGTGAGTGTAAGAAGGAGCATATTTACCTATTTAAAAAGTTCAAAATAATTGTATAAAATCTGTTCCTTTTACTGTGCTTTGGAAATTTTCAGAGACATAACAAAGTCAGGAAATCTTAAAATTCTTAATTATATACAGTGCTTTTTTGCTTCAAAATATTTGGTTGGTCTCCAAGAAAATTGTTCATTGAATATAAAACTGTTCTGTACAAAAGCATGCTGAAAAAGGGGAACTGAAAAAATGGAAGTTCATCAAGGCAAACTATATTTTTTTAAACTCTATTTATATTGTTTATAAATGAAAGTTTATATTTTTTTATTATTTGTATAGTTTTTCATGGTAATTAGTAGTGAATGACAGACTTTCTAATAAGAAGGTGTAGCACTGCCTTTGTACATACTGGGGCTGATTTACTAAAACAATTTTTACTTTCCAGTAGAACAGAAGGGCTGCTGTACAGGCTATTCACTATAGCCCGTACAGCTCCCGAAGTCGGCCGAGCGGCTCAGTCGAGCCGAAGGCATATGCCTCGGCTCGACTGAGCCGCGCTGAAAGCCGAAGCTGGCTTCTGACAGCTGGGCGGAGCCAGCCATCATCTCACAGCTGGCTCCGGCCACTCTCAGCAGAGGGGACCTGCAGTTCTCCATCAGGTCCCTCTAGTGATTCACAGCAGCAGCACAATAGCTAGTTCACTATTGGCTATTGCAAATTGAAATAGCCAATAGGAATAATGTAGCTATGCATTCCAATGCTTATTTTTTTTTTTGTTCTGATGGCAGAAGAAAAAAAAAAGACAACAGAGCAGGTAAAGGTTTACTCTGCTCTATCGAGCAGAGTAAAACTTTCCGGGAGAGTTTTTTAAAAACAATTTTATTTTGACGGCAGCAGAACCGCCCAGCCAATAGAAAACAGTTGGGCGGAGCTAGCGGTCACTGCTAGCTCCGCCCAATCATTTTATTTTTTTATTTTTTAACTATTTTCTATTCTGCTCGATACCACAGAGGTATCGAGCAGGATTGCCTAATTAAATTACTGGTCAACGTGATTAAGGATGGATTAACATTGAGGCACATTATTTACATTTAATTTTTTTTAAGTTGTTAAATTACTTTTTAAAAGTGTCTTTGTATTTATTTAAATTTGAGTTTTTGGGGGGAAATGTACTAATGTACATTTTTAACTCATTCTCCTAGGAGGGGGCGGATATCTGGGGTTCCCCTTATTATAAAGGAGGCTTTTAGATTCCCACAAAGCTCCCATCCAGAAGAGGCTTTTGTCTCTCAACATTCGGTGTTAAAAGGCATGTGGATTGGTATGGGGCATGCGCTGTCACCGCCATCCCTTTCCAGGCCAGTGTCTAGGTGAATTCTAAAGGGGAACCCTCAGCCATTTTTCTTTCTCACTTTTGTATTTGAAGGATTAAATTACAAGGTTCTGTAACAGCAAATGCAGCTTTAGGGCATCCCCCAAGCATGTTATTTAAAGTATTTGTGTGTTTATAATATTGCCCTTTACGGCACAATAAAAGACCCTCTCCCTGCTATACAGTATTTGCAGGAATCAAAAGAGTGTCCAGGGCAGACACATAGCACTTACAAGCATTGCATACATTTTGAAAGCAACCATTTTAAAAATGTATGAACCAACAGATTATTCCAATGCCTTTCTTGTTTTCAAAATTAGCTGCAGTACTCTCCATAGATTGCATATTCAATGTCATAAAAAAGACCTGTATGTGAATATATATA